GGATGGCAACAGGGTTGATTAGCCACGGAGGTTAAGTTGAATGATCAATCGATTGAATTATTGATTGATTGATTGATTGGTTGATTGGTTGACTGATTGATTGATTGATTGATTGGTTGCGGTCCACGTGGCCGTAATTACGTAGGATGGGGAAGATCTGGCACCGAGTTTACCCCCAGATATTGGTGCTAATTGCGTATGCCGGAGGAAGAGGGCACTCTTGTCGATTGATCAGCATTGATGGGGGGTCTCATTGATTGATTAATTGGTTGGGGTTCTGATTGATTGATTAATTGATGGGGGGTCTGATTGATTGATCACTTGATTGGAGGCGACTTATTGATTGATTTGATCAATTGATTGGGGGGGTCTGATTGATTGTTGATCAATTGATTGGGAGTTTGATCAATTGATTGGAGGCGACTTATTGATTGGTAGGGATCCAGGTGGCAGTGTATGCAGCAGCGGGTTGTAAAGTCTGGCACCACTTTGAACGACAAAAAAAAAAAAAAAAAAAAAAGAAGACACGAGGAAGAAGAGAGTGATTTGTTGGCTGGTGCTGGATGGAGAGTTTTTTTTTTTTTTTGTGTGGTTGTTTGAATCATCATGTAATCAGTTGCCCCTCTGATCAGGGTATGAGATTTTGACAGATTGGCATCGGTTGACTCGAAAAGCCACGTGGCAGGTTGACATGGCCTGATTGCAGAAAGCCACGTGGCTAAAAGATAAGGATCCACGTAGGAAAAGAGTGATTGACGTAGGGAAAAGGAGTGATTTGTTGGATCCTGCTGTTTTTATTGCAATCATCAAGCGATTGATTACCCCAATCATCAAGTGATTGATTACTCGACAGATCAGACGACGAGGTGGACAGGTTGGCATCGGCTGATTGGAAAAAAGCCACGTGGCAAAAACTCAGCGATCCACGTGGAAAAAAATATCAGTACCCACGTGGCAAAAGAAAAGGGATGGAGAAGGGGGATAGGAGTGGTATCCCAGGATTGCAGCAAACACCGGTGTGCTTGATGATTGGCTGCCACGTGTCACGTCGAAGCAAGTAATCAAAGTGCACGTGGCACATACGGGAAGACGACCTTTCGAGCAAGGAGAGGCGTCGTTATGATGAGTGCGCATCCATCCATCTATCCATTTCATGTGTCCATCAATCAATCAATCGATCAATCAATTGAATGAAATCAGTCGCGATCAATCAAATCAGTCGAGATCGATCAGATCAGTCGAGATCAATCAGATTAGTCGATGATCAATTAGTAATAATAACCATTTAATCGGCATTGGGGTGAGAAAAATCAGGCATTCTGAAGCATCCATTCATCTATGCCGCTCAAGCCAATCAATCAATCATCTCATTGTGGATCCGTTGATTTGCGTGATTGGCAAAAACTTGTTGCGCGGACGCAGGCGAGAGATCACAATGTCAAACTGAGAAATACGCATGGGCGGCGCTCACACGCGTGTGCGAGAGTCTGTGAGGAGCAGAGAGAAGCTGTGAGGACACTCTGAAGAGGACGAGAGAGAGAGAGAGAGAGAGAGATGCAATCGGGAGGAAAAGGAGGAGTTGATGTACGTGGTGGGGGGGGGGGGGCTGCAATAAGCGAGTCGATCAAGATGATGGCTGAAGACAGGGAGGAAAGGGAGGGAAGTATAAACTTATGCTAGGAGGTTAACGTGTAAGGAGGAGGTGCTGTCGGCTCCCTGTGAAGGAGGATGGAGAATAGGTGGTTTAGGGAGCTTGAGATACTGTCATTCTAATCCGTCCTTTGACGAGGCAGGCTTGATCTCTTCCTCGCTCTCGTCATTATCATCATTCTCCCTTTCTCTCTCCTCCTTCTCCTACTTCTCGTTCTTCTCGTTCTTCTCGTTCTTCTCCTTCTTCTCCTACTCCTTGTCCTTCTTCTCCTTCTCTCGTGTTGATCAGCTATGGCGTTAGTCGGTGATGGGGTGCCTGTTGCGGCAGGGAAGGATGGTCCGCCGCCTGACACGTCAGCGATTCCAGCTGGGGCTTTCACGGGGACCACAGAGACGGTTGCGCTCCCGACTCTGGTCCGTCGGATGGTGGAGAGTGCGTATCGGGATCTGAAACAGCTGTGCTTAGCTGTAAGGGGCAAATCCGACGTGGACAGGAAGCTGGGATTACTCAAGTACCTTTATAAGCTCCGTCAACGGTTAATCAGGCTTCTTGTACTCGTCAACTGGTCGAAAAAGGTTTCCTTCTTCTCTCCCTTCTCTCTCTCTCTCCCCTCTCTCTCTCTCCTCTCTCTTCTCCCTCTCCTCTCTCTCTCCTCTTCCTCTCCTCTCCCTCCTCTCCCTCCTCTCTCTCTCTCCTCTCTCTTACGTGTCGTTTTGTCAGCTCACCATCGCTCTTTGTTGTCCTGTCTTCCCATCTTGCAGTTTTTTAAAAACCCTATCTCATTGTATTGCCTTTCCTCACCTTCCCTCTCCTCTTTCTCTCTCTCTCTCTCTCTCTCTCTCTCTCTCTCTCTCTCTCTCTCTCTCTCTCTCTCTCTCTCTCTCTCTCT